GTTGATGAAGCTGTGTGTAAATGGATGAAATGCTGTAGTTTGTCTCTGTGTTGAGGTGGATCAGTGATCCTGCAGAGTCCTGTCCTCCCTGTGATGGAGGGAGATGACGTCACTCTGCTCTGTAAAACAAAGACCACTCCCTCCAACCTCCCAGCTGCTTTCTATAAAGATGGAGTCTTCATCGGGAAAGAGCCTACAGGTCACATGACCATCCAGCATGTTTCCAGGTCTGATGAAGGCCTCTACAAGTGTGACATCAGCGGTCATGGAGAGTCTCCATCCAGCTGGATCACTGTCACAGGTGACACACTCACCTGTCTGTGTTTCTGCAGGTTTCAACATTCACAATGTGACGACAACTTAATGACTGTGTTTGCTTTATTTTAGAGAAACACACCACCAAACCTACTGGAGCCTGTATTCTTCTCACCGTGTTGTTGACTGTTGCATCAGTCTGTGTTGTGGTTTTATCATTGCTTGTATGGAACCAGCTTACCAGAAGAAGCTGGAGAAGATGACATCACCAGTTTCCTCATGTATGACTTCAGTAAATGAGGACATTTTTGAAAAACACAATATAGTTTTTAAATGTTGACACTATAACTGCATATTTAAACAGTAAAAATATGGAGACTTTTACAAAAGGACAAAAAGGAGACGGAGAAAAGTGCAAACATGACACTGAGGACAACAAGCTCATTATGTGATTTAGTGTTTGTTTTGTCATTTACGGGTTGAAATGTAATAAGAGAAGAGCATTAGCTTATTGTTTGCTGGATTTTAAAGTTTCTATCTTTATGTCTGTACGCACAGCTGCATGTTTGTTTTTTTTCTTAACCACATTTAGAGTGTGTAATGTTTTCAAGTTGCTAAGGCTCAACCTCCTCTGTGTTTTTGCTCAGATACAGCAGATATTTTCAGTATTCATTTCTTTAGTTGAGCAGCACCACTTCCCTTCATTTATCCAGTTTTTGTACTGTTTAAAAATTGTTGTTAACTTTTTCATCTCTTCATCAGTGGTAAGTCCCTCTTTCTTCACAGATACTGGTGTGAGTGCACAAAGCTCCTGCAGTGCAGAAGCCCCGCCTACCTGCTTTTTAACTCTTTCAGCCAATCAGAAGAAAGTTATGCTGAAGAGGGAGGAGTTAAACAGCTCATTTCAGATAGATTCTATCTGATAAGGGATACACCAAGGGGCTTCTCATTTTGAACTGCATGCAAAGCTACTCTGGTATAAGTAGCTCTGGCACAATATGAGTACTCGGGTGAAATGACCAAAACATTTCCACTTTAAAAGAAGCGCAAATGTTAGTGTAGCAAAGCACAACCACTCGCATACTTGTCAGATGACCTTTCTGTTGATTTACTCTCATGTTCTTGTGTTACAGTGTTCATCACTGTTTGTTGAGATTAAGATTGTGTAGCTATTTTGCAGGCTGAAGCAGATAGTGTATTTTTCCATGCTAACACAGTTTATGGCTGTTTTTAATTCAGTTTGCCCTTTGACATTTACACTGTTCAGTTTATGGTGTACAGTACAAAGCTGCACTACTTCCTTCAGATAAACTGTAAAATAAAAAAAAACCTTTTTCATTTTTTTATTGATGTGCTGATACTAGTGTTTTATTAATAATGAATAATACTAACTGTGAATAGAAAGCATGTGTCGGTGTCAGTACGCCACTGACTGAACACTTGAGTTTTTGTTTTTTTAACTAGTAGAGTGCACCGTGCCATAGTTTCCTTTTTTAATTTAAGGAATTACATTCTGAAAATAGTAATAAATAATGAGACACTGGAAAAAAAAGCTAAAACATGAATCCTTTATCCAACTTAAACAATTTGATTAATATATTTGCTTTTTATGATGAGTCACATTTTCTATCTATTTTTTATTTCCAATTTTTTATGATGGTTTTCTTTTTTTATATCTACATCTGGAAATATTTTAGTTGTGTATAATTTTTCACTCCTAAAACTCCTAAATTCATCTTGTTGGTGGGCTGGTTCTGCTCCCCAGGCCTCGTGTTTGACACCACTGCTTTAAACTGTAACTGCAGATCTTGTTTGAGCTTCATGATTGACTCCACGTCACTTTCTTAGCCACACATTTCTTGGCAGACATGTTCATTTTCTTAGCTTAGAGCCAATCAAGTGTGGGCCACTGTCAGTATGATGGAAGGTCACAGTCAGAGATCTACTTCAAGCTGAGCATGAATCCTTTAGATTCGACTAAACTTCTATGATGGTTTTAATGTGATTTATGATAGATTGGTTTTGTTGTTGAGCAGCTCTGAATCCAGACGTTTAGCTCATTGACTTGAGCCCCTATTGTTATTACGCACGTGTTTATAACCCCACCCTCAGTCTGTTCTCCTTCCTCAAAAGACAAGCAGCCCTGTCACTGAACACAAACGCACCTGTTTTCACGCTTAGAAACTTTTAGCTGTATTGAAAAACTTCTCTTTAAACTCCTCGGCAGGGTTTAAACTGGGATATTCTGTTTTGGGGAAATCTCACCATCCTGTGGATATTTCTCAAACTCGGAACATTGAAGCGGAAATGGCTGCTCGGACATCTGAGCGTCTCTGCTGGACTCACGGTGTCTGCAGGTGAGCGTTAACTAACATAAGCGATTTCTTCATATTTATTAGATTTCCAAACTTGCTCATAAGTAAACCATGTGAGACCTGCCTGCAGATAAACAGTTAAGGAAACCATAATTTCCACTCAGAATGTGGAGTAACTCCGGAGCGGGTCAAATATATATTTTCTTTTTTGTTTGCTGACTCCAAAAACAGAAACGTTCAGTCAGAGACGATGTGAGGAAATTAAAAAAACTTCCTGCTTCTGGCTGTGCGCGCTCAGATCAAAACAGGCCGTTTTGTTTTTGTCTTGTGCGCGTAACCGACCGTTTGAGCGTTTCCCACTTCACTCAGAGAAAGGATCAGAAAACAGCTGACAGAGAGCTACAAAGTAAAGCCTTTAAATATACGAGGAAACATGATGCATTAGTGGTGCAAATGAGATGCGAGAGCATTGCTGGGCATTAACGAGAAGCTTTTGTGCGCGCGCACTTTGAGCGAGAAACGTAAGACACGGTTCAGCAGCATTATAAACCCTGTTCTTACAGCACAGAATACAAACAGCCTAAAACACACTGAGAAGGGAAACTGAAGATTACAGCTGATTTTAACCTGGAAGTCAGAAGAGTTACTATGGTTACCCACTGAAGACTGAATTTGTCCATCTCGCTGTTTGCGACATCTGCTGCTGTCAGAACATTTAAAACACAAAATCTGAGGATTTCTTGTTTCTGTTGTTGTCGCTCCACAGGACACAGCATGTATCCGGGCATACACCCAGCCTGAAGCGAACACATTCATCCATCAAAGCTCAACATAAAACTCTCATTTCAAACTTGTATTTAAACAGATCGGACTGAAATATGACGGGCGCAGTCACATTGAGCTGCTGAGGTGAATACAATTACGCAAAGGAGCTTGCAAAGAAAAGCGTCTGGACTTCTTTAAGTTACTTGAAGACGTTTCACCTCTCATCCGAGAAGCTTCTTCAGTTCTAAGGTCAAATGGTGGAGAGTCCCAGATATAAACCTAGTGGGAGTAACCCCCCACAGAGGGACAAAAGGACCCCCTGATGATCCTCTAATCACCTGAGCCAAGGTGTGAAACTGGGTGTGGGTCCCAATCAGCCAGAGTTTCGGGTGTGTTCAGTGTGAAAACTGGCCCCACCTTATCATGCGAATTCCTGAGGTCAGATGGCCCAGGATGTGAGTGGGCGTTAAGGCGTCTGGGAAGGGAACTCAAAACTGGATTATAGATGGCAGAGAGTTGGTGTCGTAAACCCCCGCCTCTGTTCAAAGATGGTCGCTCACAGTGGACATAGATGGCTTCTTTCACTCCTCTTTCAAACCATCTGTCCTCTCTGTCCACAATGTGAACATTGGCATCCTCGAAAGAGTGACCTTTATCCTTAAGATGCAGATGGACTGCTGAGTCTTGTCATGTGGAGGTGGCTCTTCTGTGTTGTGCCATGCGCTTGTGAAGTGTCTTGTCTTTCAAGACAAAGAAAGACAAAACGCCAAAACACAAACTTAACAATGTGGTGTATGCTGTACAGTGCAGAGAGGAATGCTCAGACCTCTACATTAGAGAGACCAAACAGCCACTTCACAAGTGCATGGCACAACACAGAAGAGCCACCTCCACACGACAAGACTCAGCAGTGAACACACCCGAAACTCTGGCTGATTGGGTCCCACACCCAGTTTCCCACCTTGGCTCAGGTGATTAGAGGATCATCAGGGGGTCCTTTTGTCCCTCTGTGGGGGGTCACTCTCACTAGGTTTATATCTGGGACTCTCCACCATTTGACCTTAGAACTGAAGAAGCTTCTCGGATGAGAGGTGAAACGTCTTCAAGTAACTTAAAGAAGTCCAGACGCTTTTCTTTGCAAGCTCCTTTGACTACGATGACCTGGATGACTGAGAACCTTCACAGACTTAATACAATTAGGTTTTTCGGAGGGATTTTTTCAGTAGCTTGTGTTTTCTTTTGCCCCCCCCCCCCTTTTTTTTGTTTTTTGTTTTTTTACAGGGGAAATGCACTTTACTAAGCGCTAGATCAACCGCTGCGTTGCAAGATAATCGATATCGTTTCCGTGAAGCAGCCTCGTAAATAGAGGTGTGATAGCTGTGTCGCTTTGAATAACTTCTTTGAAACCCTTCTTCGACTTCTTCGCTTTCAGTTGCTTTAGAGTCTTCCTCCTGTTCTGCTCAGTGTGCAGCTGCTCCGCCGTGTTCGTCCACCTATCAGACTTTAGATGACTTCTTTAATAATCTTCCTGTATTTATCTCTAATTGTTTCATCTATAGGTGAGTGAAACTGAGCATGTTTATATTTTAATTCGTGTCAAACTTCAAAGCTAAACTAATAAGAGTAGCCTAACTAAATTAATTTTTTTCCATGTAGAGAAAAAAATTAACTTGAATTATTCAAAACATGACTAAATGTATTTTCCCTGTCACTTTTCATAGATCTTGATTAAGGCAATGAGTTCAGTTCACTCAAGTCTTTAACAATGAAACTCAAAAAATAACTCTTCCAATAACAATCATGGAAATAATTTCCACGTATTTTAAATTGCTTTATTTTTTAATTTTTTTTAGCATTATGCAATTCTGTTATTCCAATTTGATGAAATGTGGAAATCCTTTCCATGATTATTTTAAGTTCATTTTTTAGAGTTTTCATCAAAGTCCAGCGTCTGGTTAACATACATTTTTAATGGGTTTATAACAACTTCCACTTCATCCATCCTGGGATAGTGTTTACTCAGATGTTCAGATATTTAAGATGTTGAAAGCAGTTTTACGAGTCCATGCCCCCCTCAAAATACGGCCCTGATAAAAATGCGTTAGCAAGCTATAACAGCCCATTTGTCTGTATCCATCACACGAACTGATGCTTAGGCAAGATGTGTTGTTATCAACTCTGACATTTCTGACACTTGTTAAGTGATAATTTTTACCATGCACGACACTGTGACAGAGTTCAGTAGCAGTCCGTCAGTCATTGAAATCACCACCAAGAAGGCAGGGTTATTGTTGCTTCTAGAGCCCCCCGAGATGTCATAGGGGATTGTATCAAATATGAGAAGTTTGCTCTTTAAAGTGTGTTTAACATGGTAAACTGTGTATTTCAACCATAACTGTGATAAGATGGGGAGTTTTTTAGAGGTTCTGAGGAAATCTCATCTGTCCCATGACTCTAATAGCCATTATTATTGGGGGATTTTACCAAGCAACGATGAGTTGATGTGAGAGTGATTCATGATAACGCGTGGGATTTTCACAGTTGTGGTGATCTAAATCATTAAAAATCTTACTCTAATATGAGAAAACATGTTTTTCCTAAACTATCATTTTAACATTATTAGTTGTGTTCATGTTTAAAATGTGATCCCTGTGTCTAAACGTGTTAAAAGACTACCTGGAAATGAAAAATATCTCACAGAAGACGCATTTCCTCAAAGGTTTAAACTGTTAATGCTGCTCTCAGTTCAGCTCAGGATGTCGCTGAATGTGTGTGAAATGAAAATCATTAACATCAGTCTGACATCAGTTAATGTCTTTTGTGCAGGAGGTAGTTTAAAGCAAAGAGGGACCACCGACTGGACATCAAACACATCATCACAGATGTGTGCTCAGGTGAAAACCATCTGACAGCCTTACAAGGCATTTGTGATCACATGCTTGGTATCAGAGGACAAAATAATATCAAAGAGGAGTGTTTTATTGATGATAATGTTTCATTATCTGGGCTAATATCATTCACGAGTGCTTTAAATCCAATTGGAAAAAACTGGTGAAGGACTTTTACAGACTCACACTGAGCTGGAACCTGTGGTCAGAGGAGTTATCTTATTGTGAACACGATATCTCCTGAACAACTTCAAATAATAGGATCATGTTTAACACAGATGTTCAAATGGACTCTGTGATCACAGACAAAAGCTGAGGTGAAGCCTTGCGGGCAGGTACAACCACCTCTGTTAGGTCCACATTAATCAAGTGTTTTCCTCATTTCTAGCCTCGGCATCATCCATATGGAGATTCTTTTCTTTTCTGCAGCAGGATGTGCAGGCGAAGCTTGGAGATGACGTCACTCTCCAGTGTCAGATTACTACAGATGAAAGAATCTCAGTG